TGAGAAGCAGGTGACACTCCCGAGCTGCCCACCAGAGAGCAGACTTGGATATGCAAAGCTCACTGCCAACTTTGTACCTTTGGGAACAGGGAATGTTATTTCAGAACAGCATGGTCTCTTATCAAGAAAATACAGTATCAGGGACCCTGGAGACTATACTTCGGAGATTTTTTTAGTAGAGCTTGTTTAATTATCATTAATTGGCTGGGAGCCAAATATCCTTCCAAAGACTTACAACCTGACTCGAACATGAATGATTATGGATGTAAAACAATGCAACATGTCTCAAATCACAGTTTTACTAAAATTCACGAGGAAGAGATGTAATCTTTATCCTCATTTATTCCTTATATGTACCCTTGGTAAAAATTCACATTTGTAAAACATATGCAATAGGGTATAAGTATTTGTCCTGCAAAAGGATTCACTATAGAATTCCTTTAGATAGCAAAACATGCAGAGTTCCTCTACTGCATTCTGGGAGAGGAGAAGGCAGTGATCTAACACTTTACGTAGGGAATCAAGTGTGCACTAAGGTACTATGCAAATTACAGCCTAAGACATTCATGTTTATATTTAGAATGTGTTTAAAAGTAAACAGAAATTCACTTTGGTGTCTTAATCTTCACTGGGCTTGGGCCTATCCCCTTCCTTTTTCGGTCAGGGCCTGGCTGAGGTGGGAAAACCACCCTTGGATGACGGATAATTGATCCATATCCCACAGATATATGTTTGTACACATGTGACAATAATTACTAGTTGAAAATTCATACATTTAAATCTATAAAACTTCCTCATCTCATGCTGGCCAGGTAGCTCAGTTGGTTGGACCATTGTCCCACACACCAAAAAGTTTGTGGGTTCGATCCCCCAGGTCAGGACACAAGCCTAGGTTGCAGGTTCAGTCCCTTGTCAGGGCACCTGCGGGAGATACCTGATCGATGTTTCTCTCCCTTACTCTCGCTCTAAAAATCAATAAACATGTCCTCATGTGTGGATTGAAAAAAACCAAAAAACTTTCCTCCTCTCATTGTCATTGTCTTGACCATAGTTACCAATGGCAATGTCCTCATGAAGAAGTTGCCATTTGTGGCCCTGGCACTGTGTGGATACAAAATGACTCTGGTGCAGGTGAATCCCAGAGGTTACTGGTCCGTGGCTAGAGCAGCTCAGTTACAGCTGCTAATGTGATGCCCTGCCTTTTCTTTTTTGTGCTAGAAACCATCCTGACAATGATATATCACTAAGAGAGAGATGGTTTAAGGTGGTTCGGGCTCATAAAACACACAGTAAATCCTAGAAAAGGAAGATTCTGTCTTGGAAACCAGGACATAACAAGTAAATGGCAAGTATAACTTCTGTAAGTTAATCTGCCTTTGTTAAAAGACCGTAGAATCAGGTTCTGTCTTCCATAATAACACATGAATGATGAGTCCCTTTATCCTTATAGTTCTAACGTCATAGGTAGGCCTTCCCTTTTGCCTGCTTTTAGGTACCTTTGTGATTTGGTTCAGGTCATCCTGCCCTCATTGAGATCACAGAGATAGAAATAGCCCGTAGAATTAGGAGGACATTATTTAGAAGATGAAACACTTCCACTGCTCCAAGAATGACTACAACATGCATAGGATTGGTTACCCTAATCTTATCTGTATTCGGTACACCTTTTCTTGAAATTTAAAAAGACATAGTTGGGCAATCACTTCATCCAGTCCAGAATTTGCCATTGTATAAGATTCTAATGTATGAAATGAGAAAAAAAACAATGTATTTTGAGAGCCACTGTTCTTCCCTTAACTAGAGGAAAAAGGAGGGAAGTGGCCTTAATTATAAATGGAATTGATAAGTGATGATTTGCTGTAATTGGCTTGTGGCAGGTGTGACTCCGTGGTCTATCAGTCAGAAATGGACTGGAGCCCTCACTGGTGTGGCTCAGCTGGGTGTCGTCCTGCAAAGAGAAATGTTGCTGGTTCAACTCCTGGTCAGGGCACATGCCTGGGTTGTGGGTTCAGTCCCCAGTTGGGGTATGTATGAGAGGCAACTGATCGATATTTCTTTTGCACATTGATGTTTCTCTCCCTTTCTCCCCCCTTCCCTCTCTCTAAAAATAAATATGTAAAATCTTAACAAAAAAATGAAAGAAAGAAATGGACTGAAGCTGGCATGTTTGACTTCACCAAGTTCTGGACGGTGGAGTCGAGGGAAGCGTCGCCTGTATATCTAAGGCCTCGCCATCAGAATGGTTTTGAAGAGAGCAGAGCCCAATCTGACTCCTGAATTCAAATTTCACACCAGTCACTGGAGAACTTTTTTTAATATATTTTTTAAAGATTTTATTTATTTAATTTTAGAGAGGGAAGGGAGGGAGAAAGAGAGAGAGAGAAACATCAGTGTGCGGTTGCTGGGGGTCATGGCCTGCAATCCAGGCATGTGCCCTGACTGGGAATCGATCCTGCTATGCTTTGGTTCGCAACCCGTGTTCAATCCACTGAGCTATGCCAGCCAGGTCGGAGAACTTTTGATTTAAGGAAATAATTTTTAATGTGGTTCTTACGGGGTTCATTGGGGTGTGTCTAAGACCCAGATCTTGTTCCTAATAGATTAAGTGCAGCAAGGGAGACATTAGAGAAACATAAATGGCACTGTGGAGTTAAATGTTAAATTCGTATGCCAAAAGTATTCAGAAAGGGGAGCAGTCAGTATGAGCTTGAATAATTATCAAAAACTTTCCGGAGGAGAGGCATCTTGCACTGAGCTTGAAAGCATGGGACGAGGATTGGGATCCGAGGAACATAGGAGACAGGGTTGTGAAGGCGACAGTGAGCTGAGGGCAGCGAGCAGACACAGTAAGGAGGGACACAGACAGACCTGACTGGAGTTCAGAGTCCATCACGGGAAGTAAGGTTGGGTGAGGTTTCTAAGAGCCTTTAAAATCTGACCATGCTTATCAGGGAAATGCAAATTAGAACCACATGGAACCATTACCTACCCACCAAAAAAGTGAAATTACAGTGCCAGGTATTGGCAAGAATGCAGAACACCTGAAACTCTCTGACTTTGCTGGTGAGCACGTAAATTCCTTCAACCTCCTTGAAAACTGTTTGGATAGAAATGTTAGCAGCATTATTCATAACAACTCCAAACTGAAAACGATTCACGTGTCCATCAGTAGGAGAGTAGCAAAATTGTACTATGTTTACACAATGGGATAATACACAGCAATAAAGAGCAAATCACTGACATAGCACCATGAGTGAACCTCACAGCATTATGTCAACAAAGGAAGTTACATACAAGAGAGAGTATGCTGTATGATTCCATTTATACAAGGTGAAAGAACAGGCAAAACTGAACAATGTCTATGAAAGAATGATGTTACCTTGAGGGAGGTTTGGGTTATTAACTGCAGAGGGGCCAGGGAACCTCTGGAGGTCTGTAGCTGTTCTAGATAGATACTGATCCCAGCGGTGGTTACGTGGGTGTATATGTATGTAAAAATTGAATTGAGCTGTATACTTAAGGTTATATGTACTTTACATATGTACTGAATGTAAGTTATGCCTATGTAAAAAGTAAAAAAAAAGGTTAAAAAAAATAAATCAGGTCATAAGAGTTTGGATTTGTTGTGGGAAGTAATAGGGAAGCATTAATGACTCTTCAACAGGAAAGCGACTTAAAGAAAGTGGTGCTTCTAAAATTAGCCCTGGCTGGTGTGGCTCAGTGGATTGAGTGCCTGCCTGCGAACCCAAAGGTCTCTGGCTCAATTCCCTGGCAGGGCACATGCCTGGGTAGCAAGCCAGGTCCCCAGTGTGGGGGTGTGCGAGAGGCAGCTGGTCAATGTTTCTCTCCCTTTCTTTCTCCCTCCCTTCCCCTGTCTCTAAAAATAAATAAATGAATTAAAAAATTACCCTGTAGTGAGGTGGAGAATGGAACAATGTTCAGATCAGCTATGATACTTAGGTCAGATATAGTGCCAGATACTATAGAAGACACAAATACCCAAAATTCTTAATTTCTCTTAAGTCTTGATTTCTTTTGAAAAAAAGAAAAAAGGAGGGGAAATTATACCTTAAAAGAACGTTATGAGAATGAAGTGAACCTAGCCGGATTTATAGTACCTAGCACAAACTAGGCACACATAATAAGTATCAGATTCATTTCTCAGGAATGTAATGGCATGTACAGATGTGTGGCACAGATAACGCAGGGGCTGAGTGAGGTGAGGGGGTCATGGTGGCGAGGGGTGGAGAGAGAAGGGGCAGATCATAGTGTGATTTTTTTAAAGATCTAGCAAATTTGATATAAAGGAAGAAGTACTTTCTATATTCTAACTGTATATAGGGTATGTCTATTTCTATTTTTGTCTTTTTATAAGATAAAACTAATATAAAAGGACACCCTTGGATTGTTACTATGCTAACTTGAAGGTGCTGTAACATCGTCAGAAAATACGTTATGGTCTCACAACCTGAAAAATGGTACCTTACTGCATACTAAAAGTTAATTCTTATTCTAATAATACTTTTAACAGACATTGTCATCTAACTGAAACATTAATGACATTTCTCTTAGTGGAGACCCTGTCACAATCAAAGCAAAGCCTAGAATAAAGGAGAGGAAATCCATTTATAAAATGTATGCCATCTATTTCAAATATCATATGTTGATATTTGAAATGTCATCAGCAGACTAGCAACCCAGGTCTTGTGTATCAGCGCTAAGCTGCTTTCTGGCCAAGGAAGTTGAATTTGCAGGGCAAATACTGAGCACTGAATATCAGTATTTCAGAATTATATTGTTCAGATTATTTATTTAAGAGTTCAGAAGTTGACTGATATTAAATCCTGGACATCAGCCTTCCAATTTTGGAACAATATTAGATTTCCTGTGAAATTTCTGGCTTGAATTTAGTTAGATGTCTTGTTTCCCAAGTTTGAGGAAAATGAAAAGGTAAGTAACACTTTCCCTCAGCCATCAGTCACCTGTCTCCTTTCTTCCAGATATTCCGAGTGGTGTGCATCTGTTTGGGTAACCCACCGGAGACGTTCACCTGGGAGTATCGAGACAAAGATAAAAATTATCACAAGATTGGCCCCATAACTCCCTTGGAGTTTTACCGGGACCACGTCAAGCCTCTCTTCAATATGGAGGATAAGGTTGGAGACTGGCCCCGGCAGCCCCTGGCTGGTTACTTTCACGTGCCCTTTGACTGCAGAGAAGGGTGTAAGATGCCTGGGTTGACATGTGTGATCATCTGACTAGAATTAAAACAGACTTCCCCTCCCCCTTCCTCTGAGGTATTTTGTGGACCTAATAATAAAGCACAGGGTCCCCAGTGCTTCTCCGCAGAGACTTTGCTTACCATAGGCTAGCAGTCAGTTTAATTCCCACATGCTCCTCTGATTTTGAGCTCAGAATGATTCCCAGGTGCAAAGACAATAAAAACATACTGGGTGTTTCTCACTGTGGTTTCAGAGTACCTCTGAAATGTACCCTCCACCCCTGCCCCCACCCTGGGGACTCTCCAGGAAGGGAGCCGTGTCCCATCCTAGTTTTTCCTGCTCTCCTCCGGTCTTCTCCACTGCCTGGCAAGATGACCAGAGGCCCCCCTCCTTTATTGTCGTTTTGACCCTTTTTTCAGCAAATGGCTCTGTTTCATGCTTGGAATCCCATCTCAGCTGAGGTATTGCTGGGTGATGAGCCCATGCTACAACTTGAGAGCAGGGCTCTTGTAGTGATGGGATCTCCATCTTGCCTTACTCAGTGCGCGCAGTTCTTCAGAATTACTTTCGTGGGTAATTCTTGCCAGTAGGAAAGATGCAGCACCCAAATGTGTCCAACACACTAATCGGAATGTGCAAGGACCTCTGCCACTTCATTGCTACCTTTTTTTTCTTCGTTATTTAGCAGTGTGTTTGTAATGCTTATTCTTGTAGGCAGAGGGCTTTGATGAGCTTTGATGCAGACATATGAACTTAGAGGGGAGGTATGTGTCTTGCTTGGCATTCCTGGTTTTATGTTCCAATCAACATGTTCTTGACCTCAATAGATTTGTTTCGTGAATGACCCTCGGCCCCAGCACAAGTACAACAAACTCTACACGGTGGAATACCTAGGCAATATGGTTGGAGGGAGAAAAACTCTCTATAACAACCAACCCGTTGACTTCTTGAAGAAGATGGTGGCTACCTCCATCAAAGATGGAGAGGTTGGTAATGTTTCTGTGTCTTCTGTGTTGGAGGTAAAGCCTCTTCTTCCACTTCTTTGGTGTAAGAGGAAGATAGGATTTATGTTGACTTTCTTCCTCTTTCCTCTATTTCTAGGCCGTATGGTTTGGCTGTGATATTGGAAAACACTTCAATGGCAAGCTGGGCCTCAGTGACATGAATGTGTGAGTGCAAGAAATTGAAAATAGAAAGTCATTTGTGGGTTGTTGCTGTGGGAATGCACTCTTGGTATGAAATGACTTGGCCGAGGTTCACCCAAAGAGTAAGGTTGGCCTGAGGGTGGGTCTTTTTCTTTTTATCTTGTAGAGTTTAAAGACTCTAAACAAAAACTTCACATACTTACATGCTCCAACCTGGCAAATCAAGATCATACTTTATGTCTGCATTGAACTGTTGGATGTTCCTGAAAAGCCGCCCTGTATGAGAAAGGCACCTTTAAAAAGAATTGATTACTGTGTAAATCTGCTTAGACATCTGGGAGTGTAATGAAATGTTTTCCAAACCTCTTGTTTGCCATTTGATCCTTTTGAACTTCTTCTCTTACTTTGATGACTTATATGTAGTTTTTTAATTTATTGATTTTAGAGAGAGAGAGAGAGACAGGCATTGATTTGTTGTTCCACTTATTTATACATTTATTTGTTGATTCTTGTATGTGCCCTGACTGGGGATCGAACCCCCAACTATGGCATATGGGGATGATGCTCTAACCAACTGAGCAACCCAGCCAGAGTAATAACTTATATAGCTTGTCTTTTTGACAACTAGAACAAATTTACTTACACACTTTAAAACATTCCTCCTAGCTGTTGATGACAATGAAGGTTCATTTGTGAATAAAATTATACAAGATTTCTTGACTATTAAAATGTACCACTTTAGAGTTACTTGTAAGTAATTGTTACTTGTAGGAGGTTGAGGGAATAACTTAACAGTTAACAAGAGAAAAGACAGACAGACAGAAAAATCTGCTAAAAGAGAGAATTCATGATTTTTTTAACTTCGAAAATGTTCTCCATTATTTTTTATATTATTTATTGAAATTTCACAGTCAGCAATGGTCTAAATGAATTCAGAAACTGGGCGCTTGTACCAGCTTTAAAGAGACCATTTCTGATAGCAGTCAAAAGCTTTTTTTAAAGTTTTCTTGCCAAAATGACAATCCAAGCTCATCTTGTCAACCTCTCAATACGGGGAGTTTATGTTTAATCACTTCATATTTTCTTGAGTATTCTTGTGGCACATGGAGAATAGAATGCCACTGAGAGACTAAGTTCTGCATGTACCCAGTTCTCTGGAGAGCTATAGCCCGAGTTTATTTGAGCTATGGGGCCCCTTTGGCTTCTTCTGTTTCTTTTACAACCAGAAGCTGTCTTTCCCCCTTGATTGTACTGTCTTTATTCTGTATTGTCTTCTTTTTTTTTTACAGCTATGACTATGAGTTAGTGTTTGGTATCTCCATGAAGAACATGAATAAAGCAGAGAGGCTGACTTTTGGTGATTCACTCATGACCCACGCCATGGTCTTCACTGCAGTCTCAGAGAAGGTACGGCCTGCTCAGCATGCCCACCACACTGTCTCCGCAGAGGGACCTCCATTCTCCTGCAGCCTCTTTGTCAGAGCTTCATTCAGAGCATATTCGAGTTTGGTTAACAGCTTCCAAGCAAGACACTGTAGGTGCATCACTGGAGGTTTGGCCGCATACACAGAAGCAGTAAAAACAGGAACTTTCCATGGGGAGCAGCACTGGGGTCAGCAGGGAGTAAGGAACGAACTGATTTTCTGTAACTTTGGAAGTTCTTGGTGTGAAGAGAGGTCGGCAAGGGAACCTAGGAGAAGATAACTTCTATTGAATAAGGAATTTAAGTGTGTCCCGAAAGTGTTCATGTCTTGATAACGTGTGTTTACACTCTCCTTCCTTTCATTCGTCACTCGGATTCTTCTGCAGTAAGATGTCTGACAGTAATTTGTGGACTGCATGCCCATCCACTACTGGATTTATACGGAGCAGGAAATTGGATGTAAAGTATTTGGAATTTCCTGTGAAATACTCTGAATAATAATATCACTGTTTCTAGGACACACTGTTGGAAACCACAGCTGAAACTTTATCTTTCATAAATAAGCCTCCCCAGCTCTGGGCTGCAGAATGGTATTTTACACCTGTGCTCAGGGATCATGAGGAAGAAAAGACTTCAAACTATCGAAAAACTTTTAACTGCCACAAGCAAAAATGTTCTTTTTCTAACCCATCTAATTTAGGGAAAGAGTCAAAGAATAACTAACTTGACATTAGAAGAAACTTTTAATAAAATATCATAAATAAAATAAAATACTGAAGTAAATCAAATAGAATAAAATACTACTAAAATGCTACATTGTTTTTATTTATGTTCAGACCTACTAAATTCAGTGGATTTATAACTAAAGTTTCTTAAATTAAGGTTAAATTTTTAAATTTTTAGAGAACTATTAAGAAACAAACTAAAAATCTTATAATTTCTAAGAAAGGTTTGACTTTTTATCATTTTCCATCTCTTAGAGTATCCATGTTTTTCAAAATTAATAATCATGCATACTTATTAAGAAATAAAAATCATACATACCATGTCATATTCTTGGGAACTTTCATTCTTTGATCATTTTTTCCTCGGGAAGGGAGCTACCTTACATGTTAATAGTGTAAAGCAAAATTTATATTATCACAACTAGAATTTTATAGTGAGATTTTTCTCTTCCTTCCAGTTTGAGTTTTTGACCACTGAACCTAGATTGCACTGCATTTGAATGGTAATGCAGAGATAAATGTCAGTAGCTGTGTTCTGGGATGTTCTTACTGCTGCTTCCTTAGAGCCCCTGTAAGGGAGGTCCAGATTTTATTCTATGTGTATAGATGACAGAGAACATCTTGATCTAGGTCACGCAGGAATTCATTGGCAAAGGCAAGAAGAGGAAGCATTTTCAGGCTTACTATAATAGATGACCTTAGGTAATATAGATTCTGACGGTGGTGTTTAATTGGAGAGTAAAGATGGACTGTAATGGGGGGAACAGAAAACCAAAACGGGCATTTGCTAAGCTAGTCTTAGAATGTGTAGTTCAATGATGTAGTTTTGAAGGTATCTGGGACTCAGATGGGGTAGTACAGATAAGGGCGTTTGAAATTGTGGGTTTGGTTGTTGGCTATTTCTGAGACTGAAAATTACTGAGATCCAAGAAAACCGTCAAGGATAGAGTCAAATCCCATGTCGATGAGACTCATGCAGTTATATGCAAGTGGGAGTTGACAGATGAAATCATTAGGAGATAATACATGAGCCAGCTCTCTTCTCATGCTACAAAGATTTAAGTTGTTTTGACAGCAGTGAATGCCCTGGCTGAAAATGAAAAAGTCTTTCCCCAATGAAGCCTTCCTTTTGTCCCTCTCTGTGCCACTCCAGTAAAGCCTGTAAATGGAGGTTTTTATGATGCATATCATTGTTCCTTTAAGAAGATGAAATTGAGCTTATTTGATTAAGAAAGATAGAAGGGAGAGGACAGTAGTACTGCCTGGGTTTTGTTTTATGAAAATAGTCTATTCACTTTTGCTTTGCCATTCAATCTTTATTGGGTTAAACTCAATATTAGCTAACCGAGTCAGTAAATCACACATTTGGAAAGTATCAATGCTTGGTTCTCCCAAGCAGGAAATGAAGCTGTATGATGAGAATGTGTTTCTCTCTTAAACTTTGACCAGACTTTAGAATCATTTCTAAAATAAATATATTGGAATGCCTTTGCAAAGAATGCTGATCCATTAATAGCAAGAGGCTTGGCTTCAAATGGTGCTCACTGCATTTAGTAATCTAATATTTTGTTTTTCTTAGCCAAGTAACACTTTAATATGCTTATTTTCTATATAGACTAGAGTGTAAAGGAGAAAACAGTATGATTGCTTTGTTAGGTCCATTGCATTTTTACCCCAAGAGCTTCAAACACTTCTGTTGGGGTCTCCCTTTAGCTGTAGCAGAAGAGACATGGCCCTGGTCAAACCCGGAGGCGTATGTCCTGGCCGTGTAGAGAAGGCTGCTGCTCCTGAGCGGCTGAAGAAAAGCCAAGATTAACATGACGCGTTGGCAGTAGTTTCCGACTATCCCCTCTCACCTACTCTTTTGCAGGATGATCAGGATGGCGCATTCGTGAAATGGAGAGTGGAGAATTCGTGGGGTGAAGACCATGGCCAAAAAGGTGAGCTGAAGCTGGTAATAGCAGCTGAGGGTGCCTGGAGTCTGCTCTGTTCTCTGCTTCCAGAGATATGGGTAGAAAGCTGCCCTAGTGTGGAGCATTTTTCAGTAATTTATCCCATAGGATAGACTATTCCAGAGAAAAATCTGAGGATCTAGTTTGCCTCTGGGATCCCTATGACCAAAATAGCATGCCTGAATCCCCTGAGCTGATGCTGAGACCAGTATGTGCTGGCATTCGTTCCAAACCGTGCTGACCCTACTAGACCTCTTGTACCAGAACACCCTGGCCACTGAGAAGGTTGAGTGCCCTTTGCAGGACACTTGCTCTATAGCATTTGGTGCATTTTCATCTCCTGCACTAACTGCTTAGAAAGTCAGAGCCTCTGAGCGGGAAAATGGGATTGGCAAGAAACTACACGTTCACTGGAGACTCTAGGAGCTGTGAAGCCTATAGAGTAAAAGAATGCTTTGGTCAACTATGTTATTCTGACAAATCAAAACCCAGTCAGAAGTCATAAATAAATTATAATAATTAGACTTTAAAAAACTCACAGGTAATATATGAGTTGTAGAAAAATGAAATATGTAGATAAACAAAAAGAAGAAAATTAAAATCTAATAATCTTACCACCCACAGATCACCATTAACTGATTAGGGTTAACTGATTTTCTTGCAAATTTTTGAGACCATATTTTTAAAGACTGTTTTTCATAGTAGATAAAAAGCCTTTTAAGGAGGTTTTATGTTTTAATTTTTAAGGTTTCAACCCAATGGTGGTGCTACTGTAGAATATCATGCATGTATTTGCATGTGTGCATGTGCTGGTGGCATTTGTAGCAGCTCTTTCTCAGATTTCGTATCCCCTATTTGTAGCCAGTGGATGCTGGCTAGGGAAGACACACTGGCCCCAACTTACTACACTAGATAGAAGACTGGGAGGAAATAGGTAGGGAACCCAGAGAGAGAGATACCCAGGCACTTGGAACCAAGCTTCCACATACGTTCCCCCAAGCAGGAATCAGCCAGAAATTTTCTTTAAAAGAAAAAGGAAATGGAGATTACAGCAGCTCTTTGCCTGTTGCCTCCCTCAAGGTTCAGAACAGTGATCTTTCCCACTGTGTTGCCAGAGTCCTGGGATTTCCAAGGGTAAAGGTGGTGAAGGAGGAGGGTGGAGGTTGGGAAGTGAGCAGGTGGGGCTTCAGTAGTTTACATTTGAAAACTTCTGTCTTAGAAGAGCCTATTAACCTGCGTTTTGAACTTGACATTATGCCATGATTGAGCAGCACAGGTCTACATATGATGGACAAAACTTGGAGGCCTAGAATCTGTCATTCCAAGTCTTTTCATCTTCCCATGAAACGATCATGGGTGGGTGTCGGCTAACCGTGCCTGGGATCTGCTGTGAGACTCAGCAGCCCCGTGTTTATATGTAAACAAATACAAGTGCTATCAGTGCATGTCTGTTCTTCGCAAGGTGGTTGCATGTCCACTTTTTGTGATTGCTGTTACTGTTCTGTGATTACGTGGTGCTTATTAAATTACTGTTAATGTATTAGAGTTGCAACATATTTTTCAGTTGGTGATTTCTTAAAAGATGAATTTCATTCTGAGACAAATGCATGTTGGAATCATGTAGAGAGGGTTATAAACCTTAAAACTAGCAGAAAACTTAAAAAGAAACAATTTACAATTTACTTATATCTGTAAATTGATGATAGTTAAATGAATGCAAGGGAATAGCATATCTTAAATTGGAAGGAAGTCTTTAAAAAAAACCATAAGGTATTGGTAGCTTGTTTAATTTTTGGTCTAATTTGGTCCCTGTAGTTGGGTTTGTTATCATTGAAGTTAGTATCTAAGAAACGGACTAAAGTTATGGTTTGTTTAGATGAGCCTGGATTACTTGGCTTGCTTCTGTGACATTTTTCTGTCTTTAATAGTCACTGAGTTTGACGATAACAATGCTATCAATGTAAGAGAGTATAAACATTTGTAAAGGCAGGCAAATGCTCGGTGTTTTGGGTAGTGTGAGTTACTGTTTTTATTATAGCACTTTGAACCTAAATATCTACTCTTACAGAGAATTCTGGCCTTTGCTAATTTTTTGTTTCATTCAACTGTACCTCTCTACTCTGACTCAATACTGATGGTGTGTCGGTTTTGCTTTTGCTGACTTACTCATTGTTATTACAGTCATTCTTCTGTATCTATAGGGGATTGGTTCCAGGACCCCCTTGAACAGCAAAATTGGCAGATCCGAAAATCCCTTATACAAAATGGTGTATTTGTATGTAACCTACGTACATCCTCCCGTATACTTTAAATCATCTCTTGATGCTTATATACATAATACAATGTAAATACTTTTCTAATAGTTTTTATACTATTGTTTAGGGAATACTGGCAAGAAATAAAGTCTGTACATGTTCCATACAGACACAGCCATTGTACACCTAACTATATAATTCACGTCAGCAAAAACATAACTGTTTTCCCCCGAATATTTCTGATCTGCGATTGGTTGAATCCATGGATGTGGAACCTGCAGATGCAGAAGGCCAGATGTTGAGAGAGCTGGAGTCTTGATCCCGATTCCTTCCTAGTGAAATCTGCAGCTGTCCAGTCCAGATTAAAGCAACTCGTTTTGTTTTTCTGAATAACTGAAATGCCTGAGATTATGCAGAGCTTTAGTAAAAAGCCAAAAGATAAGAGTGACCTGAGTGGAGGTAGGGAATAGTTCATTCATAGCCCAAATAAATTATTCTCATGTATTTCTTGGTAATGAAGATTTAACACGACAGAAGGAAAGAAAACATGATCTAATCTAACTGGCACACGTGGCCTGACCTTAAGAGAATGTGTACTATGTTACTTCGCTGGTGATGTGTGTTTATCCCAGCAGGGCCGTCCTTCCTGTCCGTCATCCTGGTGAGTACTGGCTGGCACGCCTGAGGCAGAGCCTGCCTCTGCGTTTCTCTCAGACACCTGACAATCTTAAACAGCATTGCTGGGATTTTGTTTCTACAGATAACATTGTTTAATAGTTTGTTACTATTCTCTTTGGGATTTCTGCTGTTAAGATGGATGGTTTCTGAAAAAGTAGTGTTAATGATACAAACTGGAGGTAAAGAGAGCAGAGATACGTGGGCAGGGTGCTTTGCCCTCTGCCCAGGCTTGGGCTTCAGTCTTCCCCCACTGGTCATGTTCATGACCATAACCTGATTATTTCACAGAATGGACAAAGATTCCTTCTGATCTCAAAAGACATAAAAGGAGATTATTAATTCTTAGCTTACTGGGCCCTTTGGATTACTTCATGTTGGTGAATTCAGATTCCTTAGCTGGACTGAAAATTGGATGCACATCTAACGTGCTGTAAACCCCACGTGGCTTTCTTCTCCCCACTGCTTCTTGAAATACTTGACTCTACATTTCTAACTTGTTTATGAATCGTGTCAGAAACATTTCACAGTTGGATGAAGGAACAGACCTTGGAACTTGTTACGTTGTCTTTCATTTTGAAAAGTTTATAGGCTTATTAGAATAAATAGTTTGTAAGATTTAATCTGAGAAGAACATAATCTTTAAACCAAGATGACCCTAGTCTGATACTAGAGCCTGTTTTCTTAACCAGTAAAACGTGCTTCTCTGTTCTAGTAGCATCGAATCTACGCATGGAAATAACATAACTCGTGGTCTTTTTTGACCAGGAAGTAGTGACTGAAGGGACATAAAACTATATAAAGGATCTGAAGACATTGTGTAAATGTCCAGTGTCAGGAGGAGGGGCTCTTAAAGTGCCATTTGGCTGGGAACGTAAGAAGGAAGGGCTGGGTTTGTGTCTGAAGTGAGCATATTGTGAGTTGGGTGAGTAAAAAACTGAATGGAGTCATCCCAAACTCCCCAGAATTATTTTGCAAATGTTGCTTTATGTTTTGCTTTTTGTGTGTGAATGCTGCTTTATAGTTTTTTTTTCTTAATTTTTCTTATCTTGGACAATTTTAAGTACATATAAAGGATATATGGTTTTAAGGAACCCCCCATCACATGGGCCCATCCCACAGCTTCAGTAGTTATCACCATTCTGCCATGCATGTAACAGGTAGCTTTGGTTGTTAATAAATTAAATTCTTACATAGTCTCCCTAAGGAACCAGTCATACTATGAAGCTGCTCTATGATTGGTTCACATAATCATGAGATGGTGTTCTGGTCCTCATGTTTGATGCAGCACAGATCTGAATGGTGGAATTACCATAACACAGCTCTTAATGCTTGTTTAGTCTGGTTTCTTAATGTGCTAAATAACAACCTTTTTATGGAAAAAGCCATACCAATTTTTTGGCCAACCCAATATATTACTTAAAGATAACTGATTATTTACAGATCTTTTTGAGATTCAGTTTTGGGTTTGTAGCACAAATAATATAAATTACAGTCAATGTTGAGCCGAGCTTGCTGAAACAAGAGAAAATTACATGAGCCAAAGGCAGAGGCTTCTGATTTCATAGAAGAGGGCGAGATACAAATTTGTTATGTCACCTCAGGGTTTTCCTGTCTCTGCAGGCTTGGGGAAAGCACTGTTACCGTCAAATGCGGGTATCTGAGCTCTTGCAGAGGGCCATGTCATCCTCTGTTTTTATTAACCAAAGGGCCTGCGTGGTGGGGATAAAAATAGTACATTTGAATAGAACAGGAAGCGTGTGCTCTCAGATTGACTGCTGCTTTCTTATCAAACTGTGTGACTAGGAGAGGGCTACTCTTTGTGAGAGGGGGACAGACTGTGGGGCAGAGGCCCTAGGACCAGGCCTCAGTTTCAGGGAGAAGTCCCCTCATTTAAGAGACACTGTTGTATGTATGTTTGCTTTCTCCTGTGGAGAGGATCTGTTGTTTTCACCAGGTTGTTCCCAGCTGTGCTCACATTGGTTTGAGAAGGACAGGGGTTTTGAAGCACAGAACCTGGAGCCAAACTTCCTCAGTTTGCATCCTGGCAGTCCCCGC